CCCCCCCCCCCCCCCCATGAAACACTCTTTTTGACCAAATAACGGTATTTTAAATGCCCAACTGTCAGTAGTTTACCGGCTCAGCAGCCCACAAGCAGCTGTTTCTCTCTTTGCTCTTCCCGTCGGCCTCGCACCTCCCCGTGTTTACTCGCCCGCCTTTCTGCCTTAGCTGCATGTATATCTGTCTGCCTGCATTTCTGTCTGTGCCCCGGGTCCCGTGGGATTGTCACAAAGTGCTGATTACACACATGACAAGCACCACTTCCTGCTTGCCTTGCATTCTGGGGCTTTCGGGCCTTAAGAATCCCTTTACCGGGCTTCCTCCTCTCGCCCCCCCCCCCCCCCCCCCTTTTCCCTCGCTCTCGCTCCTCCTCTGTCTTCTCCTCTTTCCTCCCATTTCCCGGGGTTGAGCCTGTGGCGCTTTAGCGCTTCGTCGGCGTACGGTCTGTGAATAGAAACCGCTGACTTTTGGCTTATGCCGGAATCACCGAGCTCCGTGTTGCACGTTTTTTCCAGATTGTGCTCAGTTCCAACTCCTGCTCGCTCTCCCCCACCCCTCTCTTTAGTAAACAATGTTCTTTATCACCGACTATATCGAGCCGGCTCACACTGTGTAGCATGCGACAAAAAAACCCCTCCATCTCGCAGTGATTTAAATGGATTAACGTTCCCTGAGCTTGTCTTTTCTTCTGCCGGCTTTCAGGGCACACAAACAGACTTAAGTTAGTGATTTATTCAGCTGGATTCATCTGCATTGCATTTGTATTTTCCTGCTTTCGTGCTTGTTTATGATGAATGCCACAGTGGCGTATTGATTATGTTCTCTCCCCTAGTGTTTATCGAACGCGCTAAAGAGAGCAAATGAAAAAAATGAAAGCGCGCTGCCGCTCCACCCCCCCCACCCCCCCTTCACCCCCCCCACCACTGTGTGCGTTTAATGAAGGGGCTAAAATTAGACAGTGTCTGGTGATGAAAATACTACTTTCGGTCTCTTAAAAGCATTTGTTTGTATCTTGGATGTTCCACATGTCTTATTAATGGTCAACACATGCTGGAATTGCCTGAGCTCACGCAATTATATATATGACTGCTGGCTTTGAAATATTACTCATGGCATATTGATTTGGGGGCTGGATGGTGAAGCTGTGACATGAAATGTCAAGTTTCGCTGCAGCAAATTATATAAGCTCATTATAAAGTTACGTTTACATTTAAACAGTTTTAAACAGCTTCAACACTAACAATTTAAGGAGGATAATACTCGGGATGTTAATGCTGCTGTGGGTTGTTGCTGTAAATTGTGTACTGAGAATTCATGTTCAGTATTTTGTTACCAGTAGTCGCCAATTTGTTTGCCTTTAAATACTTAAAATGATACACGATTATCAGAATCTCTGTGTAAATATGCTCCAGTGGCATTTTGCTCCTTGACGGTTGATAATTCTAAGAATCGTAGCATTGATTGAATCTCTCTCAACATTCTTTCCCTCTAATTAATCAAATCATCAGTGTGCATATTTTGTGACACTTTTAAATCAGTTGATTTCCTTGTTCTTCCACCGGCTCTCATCTTATGCGGTTGTTTTACATCTTCTTTTTTTTTAGAATACTGCTATCTTTGTCATGTTGTTGTTTTTTTACCGTGTCTGCTGTTCAACCCTTCCTCCCCAGAGCACTTCCACCTCTCTGTCGTTCCCAATCCACACCTCCACTCTCATGATTTGTTTTTTTTTTTGGTCCCATCATTCCTCTAGGCCACCAACTTGGTTCCCTCCTCCACCAACAATGCCACCCTTTCCTTTGCAAGTCCTGATGTCTCCATACTAAACTACCAATCTGCACTCTACCAGCCCTCCGCCGCCGCCATGGCGGCCGTGGCCCAGAGGAGCATGCCCCTGCAGCCGGGGCCTCCTCAGCTCTGCGCCGCTCGGCCCGACCCCTTCCAGCAGGCACTCATCGTCTGCCCGCCTGGCTTCCAAGGTAAGGGGCTTCCACCAGTCAGGGTGCATTAGTGTGAGTAAACGGAGTGGGACTTGTGGTCAATCTGTGCAAAAAACAAAACGATTCCAACCGCGAGCACCTGCGCCATGACATGATGCAAGGATAGAAAACACAACTAAACCTTTAACTGATGTAATACATGCAGCTCTGGAGTCAGTTTTAGTTCTATCTCAGACAGTCATTTTTATCCCATAATAACTTGATGAGGCAATTAGTCATTTGAAAGGAAATTGAATATGTTTGCTCTCGCCACTGACGGCTCCTCTGCGTTTGTGCCGGGGAGGGCAGAAAAGCTCTACGGCATTGTTCTGTTTGTTTACTCATTCTTTTTATGGAATGTGTGATGAAAAATCCATTATTAGAAGCTGTTTTTATACTATTGCCATGACTACTGTTTGTGTTTTTCTAAGTACTGTTTCGATATGCAAAACCCAGCAGAGGGGCTTTTGACATCTGTTAAAAATGAAACGGCGATGATTTCACATTTCCGCAGATTTATTTGTATCATTTAGCGCATTTTGTTGACATGCTCCGTACGCGTACTTTATTTGTGCACAGGGCTGCAGGCGTCCCCTTCCAAGCACACCAGTTACTCGGTGCGGATGGAGAACGCCGTTCCCATAGTGACGCAAGCCCCCGGTGCCCAGCCACTGCAGATTCAACCCGGCCTGCTTACACAGGTAGAGTACCACAGAGATTGGAACTAATAGATTTTTTTTCGGCACCGAAGACTAACTGTGCCTTTCAGACTCGGACCTGCTCGTAGTCAAACAAAGCTCTCTGCATCCTTTTTCTTTTTTTCCTAAGCCTTCACTAAGAATAGTATCCATCGATGGAGGCTAGAAATCACTCAATGTTCCCGACCCTGCCCCTGCTGGCAGCTGTTTGTTTTTTCCTGAGCACATTCAGGCCAAGCTCTCCTGTGCACTGCTCCCTGTCTCCCCCCCATCTCTCTCCCTCTCACCCGCTCTTTCTGCTGTCCCGCTCTCCCGGAGGCTGAGGCTACCGCGGTCTGATGCACACAAAGGCAGGAGGCGTTCACACGGAGAAGGCCTTCGCCGGAGCCTGCACAGTGGGGCCCAAGCTTTGGCTGCTAATATACAGTTGTTGGAAGTAACAGGGAGTGACTGTGCCTCACTCTCTCTCTCTCTCTCTGCACGCACACACACACAAACAGCGTAGGACACTTCCATCCCCACACCACCTCTTTCCCTATGGAAATTTCCATGAAGGCTTTAAATATCCTTGTGAATCCAGGGAGTTTGAGGCGCTCCCTTATCTCCGGTTAATCATGCAGTAGGCAGGGAGACGGGCAGCGAGGCTCTTTCTGTGTGTGTGTGTGTGTGTGTGTGTGTCTGTGTGCGCCTGCCTGTGTTTCGGTGGATTAATCTGTCAGATACCAAATGGTGATTAGCTCCAGGGCTGCTTCCAAGTCAGGCGCTCCAAATTACAGGCCTCGGAGGATCCCGGGAGGTCAGGGGCGGCTTGAATGGGGCTCTGCATGACCGGCCACTTCCCAACACCACCAGCTTCATGGATGTGATGGCAGAGTCGAAACAGATTAAATCCTCTACGTGTCTTTAAAGGAAACGTAAATCACCTCACCTACTGTGTCAAGTGTGGATCACACGTTGCTGGCCGGCTCTGCGGGTTTTCACCCCTATCTGCACGCATGTTAAACAAAGACCTGCTGTAGTTAACGCAAGCAGATGTTTTTTTTTTTTTACAGGCCAACGAGCTGCACACCTAATAACCGGGTTGGCCGTGTGTTTATTCCTTTGCGCTGGGGGGTCCCGCGGGCCCGGCCGAGTTGCCGGTTGCATCCGTCCCACCTGCGCTTTCACCCACCCACCGTTATGTGCCCTTTGCCCACTTTGGACCCATGCAAGTTTAGTCGTAGGCACGCTAGGGGAGCAGAGAGAGGGGAGGAACGGGGGGGGGGGTAGAGGGAAGGAGTGCTCTAAGCAGGGAGATCAGCAGGACCTTTATCTGGAGCAGGAATGCAGAAAATGTGGAAACAATTGGGGAATGAGATCTGGCGCTTTCCGAGGCCTGAGGTGACAAAGGGCGTTCACCCGGGGAGTGTAGGTCGAGGTGGGAGGCGGTGGGCTGCTGATAGTGATGGTGTACTCTGGGAAGAAAGAAATTGCCTCTTAACTGGGTTACCATTTCAGGGCAGACAGGCTGGTTACACAACGCAGACGCCGAGTGAGAGAGGCACGTATAGTGCCGGGAATGGAGATAGCGCGAGCAGGAGGAGCGGGAGAAGGATGGATGTATTACAGTCTCTTAATGGCATGTTGATAAAAGGCCTTGGATGTGGTCTCGGATGTGGAGACCATCTCCGGCTCCAGAATGTTTGATTAGAGATGTCAGTCATCAGCGCACAGGAGCGCAGTCAGCGTCGCTGGCCTGCAGATGCCCCCCTTTAGCACTTCAACCAAAGGCTTGTTGGTTTGGACTTTGCAACCTGCCTCAGACAAAACAATTCAGCTTCCACGAGCCTGCAGCCAGAATACAGAACAGAACAGCTACTTTGTGTCAGAATATAATGAACACGGGCAGTGCAAAGCAAAAATGTGAACACAAAGATAAAGGTTAGGATAAAGTTACAAGATGAAGGTAAAAATAGTCCCCGTAGCTAATTCACAGGTTATCTGCTTTTAGGTGTAGTTCCTCTCTTTGAGTCTTTCCTTCTGCTATTTAAATGTGTGTGTGTGTGTGCTGCAGAACATACTGATGCAGTTGTAAATAGATGTGCAAATGGTATTAAAGGAACAATTCATTATCGCTGACATTCAAGTGCTAATCAATAGAACTGCATTAAACTATTAGGGTTACACGTGCAGTAACACACAAACGCGTTCGTGCATGCATGCGCGCACACATATCTCGGCACATCCTGGGACACATAAAGCAAGATACTCCTCCTGTTCTGCATCAGAAATACAAAGTAGCCACTTTCACAGCGGCTTCAAACGGCCGATGAATTTAATTAGAACAGGTTGATGTGACGCACAAATTTAAAGACACATAATCACTCTAAAACACACACACACACACACACCCACGCACACGTTCAGTCATACCGACGTAGACAAAGAAAGGAGCTGCTGTACGTTTTTATTAAGTCCTTATCTCCTTTGACGATGGATGTCTCCTTGAAGCCGGCGGGGTCCCTTTTACGTGCCCAGTGGCTGGTTACGACCAGCTGTTGTGCACTTTCGAAAAGATCCTGTAATTTATCACAACTCCCTCAAATCTAATCAACGAGCTCCCTTTGTGCCTCCCTTTGACTCAATCATGGGCGGCTTTGCAGTCCCCGAAAGACAAATTATCAAAATGCATTTGCTTTTGGATACATGCATGCTGACTGTTTTCCCCCTTGGACTTCTCCTCTCTATGTCCTTTCAACACTTCTCGTCTTCTCCACCCCCTCTCCCTCTGTGTTTATTCCCCACCCTGTGTTCTCCTCCCCCAGCAGGCCTGGCCCAGCGGCACCCAGCAGATCCTGCTGCCTCCAGCCTGGCAGCAGCTCACGCACACCTCGGTCCAGCATGCCACCGTCATCCCGGACTCCATGAGCAGCGCGCAGCCGCTCGCCAACTGGAGGTGAACCACGGTGCTTTCTGTCTTGCGACTGCTGCCGGGCAGGCCTTAAACGTTGATGTCTGAATGCAGCGCGGCTTAAGGGTTTTCAAATCCATCGATCGTCTCTGCCGCGGCCGCATGAAACAAGGTTGACGTGTGTCACTTTTAAAGCTTCAAGAGCGAAGCGATTTTTTTTTTTTAAATCAAGTTTACACACGTACAACATTCGGGGGCAAGCAACTGTAGGTCAGGGCAGATGAATTGATTTCAAAGGCCAGCAGTGGTTTTATGGCTTTTATAGGTCAATATGTGCTATAGGAAGACGGTATAGCAGAATTGACCGAGGACCCTGTATCTCCCTGACAGCTTGTCCTTTATTGTCAATGAATCACAGGCTCAAAGCTTTTTATAAGAGCAGATTTACCTCATGGAGATGGGACATGTGGAGACATCAGGTCTACCACAGCCTGTCACTGCAATACCTCGATGAATGGATGGATAGGTAGATGGCAGAAGCCAATCGGCAGGGAGAATGCGAGGACGCAGGTGAATCACGTGTACGCGGGAGGACGCCTGGTTATGCACAAATTCATTCCTAGTTGTCCATCTGTGAGCAGGCGTTCACCTCCCCCCCCCCCCCCCTCCCTTCCTGTCCAGAGGCAGTTCTGTTGTCCTCAGAGAGACGATTGGGAAAGTGTCGCACTTCCTCTGCAGAGCTATCGCTCCGCCGGTGTCAGCTCCTCTGCCCCCCCTTCACCCTCTCCTCTCACTTGTTCCCTTTCCTGCTCCTCGTGCTCTTTTAAAAAGTTAGCCCGCTGCCACTTGCTGGCGTCTGTGGGAATACGTTCTCCTGTTATATTGTTGTATTTTTTTTTGGTGTGTGTCTTGCTCACACAGAAACCTTGTTGTGTTACAGGAATTCCCACCCGCACGGCACCCATTACAATCCCATCATGCAGCAGCCAGCCTTGTTGGCCGGCCACGTCACGCTCCCGTCCAACCAGACGCTCAGCGTGGGAGTGGCCCACGTTATGAGGCAGGCCTCGACCAATAACAACTCCACTTCCAAGAAGAACAAACAGCACCAGATGTCCGCCAGGTACACTCACACGGACGGGTCGAGACATATTGGGAACCATCTTCTGACCTGCAGCGTCTGCGTGCTTTGCCCCCAAGTTGACCCTCAACTCTCTCCTCTGCCTTTCAACAAGGAACATGTCGGCCTACGAGGTGTCGTCCTCCCAAACGGTGCTTTCCCCGCAGCGCTCCAAGCGGGTGAAGGAGAACACCCCCCCGCGCTGCGCCGTGCTGCAGAGCGGCTCGTCCTCCTTCAACTGCGCGCCCCTGCAGGGCTACGGGGGCGGAGGGTGGGGGCCGGGCGAATCAGAACAGGCTTCCAGCACCACCCGCAACCACCAGCACCAACACCACCTGCCCAGACAGACCATCGTCATCCCCGACACGCCCAGCCCGGCGGTCAGCATCATCACCATCAGCAGCGACACGGACGACGAAGATGACCACAAACAGAACAAGAGGTCGGTTGTGGGGTTTCGGGGATGAGTGTGGCGGGGCTTCGCTCGGCGGACGCGAGCTGAGATGTTTGTTTGTCATTGCTTATCCCGAGACCCTGAATAGACGCTAAGCATGTATAATGATTGCCTTAAGTTTTGTTTGATCCCAGAAGTTCATTTCGAAATGTCCTCCCTTCTCCTTCCTCCAGTTCATCTTCAAAGCAGCGGAAGAATGTCATCAGTTGCGTGACCGTCCACGATTCACCCGACTCCCACTGTTCCAACAGCCCTTACACTTTGGAGTCCAGAGCCCCCAACAACAACAACAACAGCTACGACACAAAGACCATCCTGGACAACTACAACAACGGGAACCTCCGCACCATCATCGTTCCTCCCCTCAAAACCCAGAGCAGCGAGGCCCCGAATGAGTGCGAGCGGCTGATGCCAGGTACGGGACCTGTAGAGATTGCACGCAGACCACCCGAAACGCAGCCTCATCCATCACCCAGCAACCATGACGTTGTTGCGCATTAAAGACACGGCTCCTCAAATAACCCAACTTGCATCCTCTAACTGTTTAGAACCGATGACCCATCAGAATTCAGCCTACAAGTTCAAATCCTCCAACGGGTTGGCGTCCGGCAATAATCACCTACACGGGGGCCTGACCGGGGGCGGGTCCTACCGCCAGCAGCGCTCTGGGCTACACGCCCTCCAGCAGCAGCCTCTCAATCTCAGCCAGGTACGATATGTTCAAGTGAATATTAGATGTTGTGTATAGAATGTAAAGTGGTTACTGTTTGGATTTCTCTTAGCAGGTTAGCTCCAAAAGTTCAAATAAGCTCATCTCCCAAAATGTGCTGGTGATAATGTGCAAAATTAGGAAAAAGTTTCATATTTCAAGTTAAAACTGACATCTCCTCACTCAGGCCCAGCAGCACATGGCGAATGAGCGAAACGGTCATCGGCGCCAGCAGGCCTACATCACCCCGACCATCGCCACCCAGCCGCCGTACTCCTTCCATCACAACAGCCCGTCTCACGCGGGCAACGTCCACCCGCACCTGGCGGCCACGCACCTGCCCGGCCAGCCCCACCTCTACACGTACACGGCACCTGCCGCCCTGGGCTCCACCGGCACCGTGGCCCACTTGGTGGCGTCACAGGGCTCGGCGCGCCACGCAGTCCAGCACGGGAGCTACCCGCCGAGCATCGTCCACCAGGTCCCGGTCAGCATGGGCCACCGCGTGCTGCCCTCGCCCACCTTGCACCACGGCCAGTACCAGGCCCAGTTTGCCCACCAGGCCTACATCAGCGCTTCGCCCGCCTCCGCTGTCTACACTGGATACCCTCTGAGCCCCACCAAGGTCAACCAGTACCCTTACCTCTAGAGAGGACGCTGACTGACACTGGAGAGCTGCTGCTGCTGCCCCCCGCCACCCCCCAAAATCCTGAACATCCTCTCCTCGACCTCAGACATAAACAGAGACAGAGGAACATGCAATCCTCATGAAACTGTCGCAAATGGCTTGAAGAAAAGAAGAAGGAACAGCCTCTCTAGAAGGGAAAGATGGGGTTGAATTTCAGAGTGTTTTCTTTCATTTTTTTTTTTCTCCTGAAAGAGCCAGTTGTTGTTTTTTGCATTTATTTGTCTATTCTCCGCATTGCTTTTTAAATGAAAGTAATGTGTCATTAGTTTTACAGGGACGTTTGAAAACGGGCCCTTTGGGGACAGTGGAGGCTTTCTGGTGTTTTATTTCCCCCCCCCCGTATATTTGGTAAGAGACTGTTGAACAGGGGTTACTGACTGGAAGTTTGGAATCCCAAGACATTCGGGAGAAGGTGAAATACGGAAAACCTGCTGCTCTTCAAAGAAAAAAAATATATATATTGATGGCCTTGAACTGTCTTTAATGTTTCCAAAATCATTCCCCGGTGTGGGGACAAAAGACAGGCAACTCCCAACCCGCTCCACCTTCTCCAGCCGAGGAGCTTTCTGGAAATATAACCAACAGAAGACAACAAACTTTTTAGTGTGCATTTATAGATATTCTGTTCCTTTATGTTTCACCTTTATAACGATATACTTGGGTTTTAGCTAGGCGTCTTAGAATGTAGCAGTCTGCACATGTTTGTTTGTTTTTCCTCCCCCTGATACCAGTCGGTCTTATTTGTTCCTCTTTTTTTTCAATGTGATTGCACAAAGTGGTTATAATAACATAGGCATGTACAACGTGATTGTCTGTGTGTGCTACCGTCAGCCATGCGTGCGTAGTCCACCTCCTTAAAAAAAAAAAAGAACTCTCTCCAGTCTTTAGGTTCTGACCATTGTTCCCTCGTAGTGCCTTACAGACATAACCACACAGTTTACTTGGCTTGGATCCCGAAAAAGCCACCAGAGACTCTCAGCTGGACGGTGGAGACGCGTGTTTCTCTGGTTTTGACATCCAAGTCGGGGCGGTTGTAGCTCACTTCCAGGTGCAGGCTCACGCCCTTAATGACAGCGTAACGCGCACGGCGAAGATTAATGTCAGTCGAGAGCTGAGCTGATATCACGCTGAGCTATTTTATTATGTGTGCATGAGATAACTTGCCCGGGGTACTTACCAAAGTCATAGATAAATTCTCCTTACGTTTTGCTGTGGATTTTAATGTAAATAAGAAGGTGTGCAGTGTAGCTGTAGCCGTGAACCTCTATCACGGGTGGCACCCAAACATTGTGGCTTTAGCTGGGAGGAAATATTTGATTTTCTTTTTATAATCACTCAAGGGAATGTTTTCACGTGGCGGGAATGTTCTGAGACGCAGAAGAGGGCCTGACAGAAAGTAAGGGACGGCCAGGCTAAAGAAGAGAGGCGGGTATCGAGGGTGGTTTTGAGAGGGTTACTGTGTGGGCGGGAGGGAAGGGGCTGTTTGTGGGGGGCGCAGGGGTCCGCGTTTGGAGGGGGCAGAGGGAAACCTAATCTTGAATGGGACTAAAATGGTAGCAAGTTGGCACTGAGCAGGTTGATAGTGACGCTGAGCCCGGTGGGATGGTGGCAGCCGGAGGGGGGGGGGGCTTCACCTCACCTGAACGCACACTTATAATTCTGACATGAATCCTTTTTGGTTTTGACGTAGTGTCATTCGTTTTACGCTGGAGGTTTTGGGTGAGCGGAAGGGGGAATCCCCCAGCGTGCACCTGGAAGGGGGCGCCTCGAGGACGATTCCTCGCCACTGTCCATTTGTCTTTGAGCCAGGAGCGCCACGGACATGGCCGCGCCAGCCGAACAGGACACCCCGAACACTTAGACACCGACCAATAGCGGTGTCACTTTGCGCGTTTGCTGCTTGACTCAACAGACATCTTTTTTGTTGTTGTTGTTTTTCTTGTAGCCAATGATACAAATAATCTCCTCCGTTCATTTGTGCTCTTGAACACTCAGCAGTACTGCTGGTGTCGTAGTGAAAGCCTTCCCCTCCCCCTTTTATGGTTTGCCATAGTATTTGCATTTGAAGTGATTTTTTAACTTAACATTACCTTGAACTTTTTGAAATGGCTGTAGTACCTATTGTGTTTATCTTTTAGAGATTGTTGCAATAATTCTTGTGGATGTGTCTTTTTTTATGATATGTCGGGCTCTGCTTTGTAGCCTGGAGGTTGATGTACAGTGATGTTTAGTGTTCCGTGGAGGTGGGCGCACCCGTGTAAAGTGTTGCAACACGGCTGGTCTTGATGACGACCCGATCGGGCCCCTATAGACACATGCTTTGGTTTGAGGGGTCACTTCACGGGACCCCCCAGAGTGGTTTGTCATCCCGGTACCCCCCCCACACACCCCGCCTCCAGCACGCAGACCCGAGGTAGAAGATGTGATTGCTTAGTAACCTGCTGGTTACATCAATCTTCTCTGTTTTGTTGTCTTCTTTTTTTATTTAATTTTCTGTAGGTCATTGGGGCCTAAGCACACACACACACACACACACACACACACACACACACACACACACACATATAAGGGAGATGATTATCCATTGAAATCTGTTGGCTCCTCTGTAATGAGACAGACTACTGAAACATTCCACTGTTTAAGGGAATCTGGCGTCGCTGTCGGACAGCGTCGTCACATTAGATCTTTTCTTTTTTTCTCTCGCTTCTCCCACCAAAGAATTCAACAGACCAATCATGTACAGCACAGCACAGGAAAGTGCGAGCAAACCACCGGAGCTTTTGCAAGGGCAGCAGAGGGGCAAATAACTCCTGGTCTCATCTTTAAACGCTTTACGAGTAACTTTGAGGACGCGTTGTTTTACCCCCCCAGAAGCAAATGCATGTTTCACGAAGGCGATTCGACGTATTTATGGAACACAGCAGAGTAACGGATTTGACTTTCACTGTCGTTACTCCTCACAGGTGTTTAGATTGAATGATCAATAACTATCAAACTTCTCTCTAAATTGATAAGCCAGTTGTTGTTATTTTATTTTTGATTTTATTTTGTTGTTGTTGTTGATGATGTCGTTGCTTTATCGGTGTTGTGTGAAAATGACTTTGTAAACTAAAAATGTTGTTTTACATTAGCGTGCCATGAAGTGAAATGACCTGTCAAAATGAATTAATCAAAAATGCACCGACTATACCTTTAAAACCACGGCCACCCGCACGAAATGAATGTAATGCGTGACCTGCGACATCTGAAATGGCTTTAGATCTTTCTCCGTGGGTGACCATTCATTTCATTTTTACACCGTAAGTGGCCATGCATGACGCAATAATTATAGATCTGATCTCCAGCAAAATCCTATGTAAGAGTAAGTCATTAACACTATGACCATCCTCACGATTAGGGGGTGTCAAATAATTGCTATTTTCTCAAACTAAATTAATAGAGGCCCCGTATACTCAAAGCTGTTGGAAATGACTTAATGTGTTAATGTTACCTTTGTCTATTATTATGTTTCACATAACCAACGTTTTGTCTCCTATAAAAAAAAAGGGGGAATCAGAAATGTGACGTAGATCGAGTGACCTTACAATTACCAAAATGTGCTTAAGTAGAGTGTAAAAACGCTTTGTGTTGTCGAGGTGAGCGCGGCCTTCCCAGCTATAGCCACCGTCTTCCAAATGGCCGACCAGTCCGCCGACCTCACTCTCCCCGTGAAGCCTGGCACTTTCCTTTAAATCTATACTCAAACTTCCAACTTTGCTCATGGTGATTCGCCCCTTCGGAGCTTTGGGGACACCGGGAAACATTCCTGAGACGAGCGCGTCGACGGCGCTGCATTAGTCTTAGTCGGATAAACTCCTGGAGAGAGAGAGAGAGAAAGAGAGAGAGAGAGAGAGAGAGAGAGAGAGAGAGAGCAGACCACCCGCAACATCCACACAAGCTTCAGCGCAAACGTAAACCATTTGGCAAACTCGTAGGCGCTTTAAGTGCAGGAAGAGGCGTCAGGTGGGTTAATCATGGGCTGACCTCTCTGTCACCAGGTGACTCATAATCCAGCCACGCGAGCGTTCTTAAAGCCCTTTCAGATGAGAGTCTGTGTTCTTTTTTTTTTACCTTTTCATTGGGGAGATCTGCTCCTTTTGCTGGCTGTTCCTTTGGGGTATTCAGGGTGAGGTGGTCACGGTTTGATGCCATCGCTGATAGAGGGTGTCGGGTGAATGAATGAAATTAAGAACCAAAACTGATTGAAATACGATTGTTTTCCTGTTATCTTAATTTATTCTAATTTATGTAAAAGCAGGCATGGATGTGGATCCATATGTACCACTTTGTTGTCAGATCTTTGGTCCAACTTTACATAAATGAAAAATGTAGCTTTTTTTCCCCATTTTACTTTCTGGAAGATTTCTAGCCAAAGCTAGTTGTGTTTTTGTGGTGTCAACGAACGGAATCTAGAAGTGGTAGACCAAAGCTACATTCAAAGCCAAATTGGCCTTTTTTTACATTACAAAAATATTCATCTAAAGCTAGACGTCACGTTAAAGTCAAAGTGATTTTTTTGGTACATTCTCAAACTTGCATTGCTCCATTTAATCACATCAATACTCATGCAAGTGAGTTATCTGTTTATTTTGCATTTTCTAAAGACCTAAGAGTGCATCAAACCCTGACCCCCTTTTCTGTTTCTTGCTGTATGGTTTCTCATCGGTGTAAAATCTCATTCTTTGTCGATACAGCTAATGTGTGCTGCAGTATTTCCTACTATACTTATCTGTTAATTGTCTCTTCTTATTTACTTTTGTTTTTTGGGGTGTGATGTCTCATTTTTTCAATCTTCTGATCTGTAGCGTTCAATGTATACCCTGTTCCTTACCCTAATATTATTAAGTATGTTACGAGAATGGATATTTTATTGGCTTTATAGAATGTTTAAATAAATATAATGACAGTAAGAAGAAGGATTAATTAAACCTCCTAAGAAGTTGAGCTACTAAGCGCTTGTGTTACCATTATGATGTTGTGTGCTTCTCTTAATCATTTTCGTTGTAGAAAAATGGAGTGAATTTATATTAGGCTTTGAATAAACTAATTATAGCATTGTAAATTTTACAGGAGGATTTTAACAAGCAAATAGCTTCGTCAAATAGAAGAATATAGTTATTTGAATTGTCCTCTTTACTAACTGTAGGGTGAGAAGGGGCTCGCGTTGTGGTGAACTATGTTATAGCTTGTTATTCACTGTTACTTTTGATCATTTTTTCGGTCTCCGAGGTGAATCGAGTTATTAATGAGAATTTGTATGCTCACATATGCATATTGTATATGTGCAGAAATGTATTCACACTTTGTCTTGGATTTACATTAAACTGTTAAGTCACGGCACCGATCTCCTTCTACTGTGGTGTGTCTGTGTGTGTGTGACGGTTATAAATATATAATGCAAACATATGTTTAAAGTCTATGCACCTTTTCCACTTATTTTACTTATACATCCTTTTGAAGTGGCCCGCAGCACAAGATTGAATCTAGTAGTGAAATAATGTTCTGCTCACTGCCAAAGTCAAAATACAAATTCCACTAAATAACACTGTGCAGAAATACAAAGTTATCAGGATAGGTCCAAAAGTACTCCTACATTTTGCATCAAATATTAAAGCCACCCATCAAAGAAAAAAAAAGACCATTGAGGGTGTCTTTGTCTAACAGGATTATAAGTATCATTATATTCTAATAATAGTTCAAGGTAGAACCCCTTCCATTTCATGGCAACGGTAATTTGCATTTTTAATGTCCAATATTAATCTGGAAAGGAACTGCATAACTATAATATTTTCAGTGGATTTTAGGGTAGTAGGATTAAAGTAGCATAACCTGCTAACATTTAAATAAAGTATAACAAAAAACAAATACATTGGTTGAATTTCGCTTCAGCTACAGTCACACTACTTGACCACCAGGTGGCAGCGTGCACCAAACTGCACCAAACTGACGTCAATCGGCAGAGGTCCCAACAGCCACTCGGCCTCAACAAAAACGAGTCATTGCCAAAAAGTACATGCTTCCTCTTTAGATTAATTAGGTTCTGATTTATTTCAGCGGTTTAAATCATCCGATAAAAAGACTGGCGTTGATAACGTCCACCCGCGGCTGTACCCTGCTACGTGCATCATCGCGTGAGGCGACGTTGCCGTGGAAGCCGCAGACGCCAGTCGAGGAGGACCAACCTAATGTAACTTTGACAGAACTGAGCGGCAGCCAATGAGAGCCACTCCCATCAATCCTAAACGAATCAGACGAGCCAGGGGGGGCGGGACTGACCCTATCCTCGGGACGAGAGGAGCTAACTGTTCCCCCCCAAAAAAAGAGAGTGTCAGATGAAGGCCAGCTTTGAGCTCGTGCGCACTGAAACAACTTGGGACGCAGGCAGGTGGTTGCGGGACGGTGTGACGACGAAGCGCCTGGCGGACTTTCATTCCCAGGACGTACCTCGTAACTCGGACAAAGGAATTCATTGAGTCGGCAGCTCCGTTTTTTGGGGGGGTAAGTGTGAATGCGCAGCTACGAGCGGGGCTGACAGGAACGGCCGAGGGAGAGGAGGAGGGGGAGGGGGGGGTGTCCTGTTATCTGTGCCCTTTAAGCTAAGCTAAGGTATGTTAGCACTCAGGGTGAGAGGTATTTACCTGCTTCTACCGAGCCTCACCGGGCAATACGCGGGATGCGAGGGACCGGGGGAGCGGGTCATGAGGAGAGCGCGCCGCCGTCCGTGCTGCTCCTCCTCCGCCGCCTTCACCACGTTCACCAACGGTCATGACGGGTAACGTTGATCTAATGCCATGGCGGTGACGTAATTGCTGTTCATTTGGCTAATGTTATCCGCCATGTGCCTAGAATGTGTCAGGTTACTTTCACGACGTTACAGCTAAAAAACGTAACATTAGATTGTTCGTTTTTCCACTTCTATTGGAAGATGCATATTCTGTCACAGTTGTTTAACGTTGTAGGGAACGAGGTAAAATAGGATATTTGTTTTATCAAATACTTTCAAATCCAATGTTGCATAGGCCCAGTGCATAGATTAGGAAAAATAAATGTGATGATACAATTAACAACCCTCCTAATCATCAATCTGAATTTCCAGAAAAATGACCTTTCCTACTGACCTGTTATTACCTGTTGTTATTATCGTGTGCCTTGAGAAAGTAACCATGAATAGATTGTCTGCTTATGGACACCTCAGTGGTTGTTTCCAGTCATTGGCTGATAAAGAGATAAGTAATAAAACATAAACACTGTTGCTCTTTTGTTTTCAGCAGCCATTCCTCCCTGTGAGCACACGTTATGAAAGGACGGACCCTGAACTAAAAGGAGACCCAAACCACGCAGCCGCCCCCCCGAAAACAACCCCGAACCTCCATCGCCTCATTCGGAATGAATCTTCTCGTCTGAATTGGGTGAAATGCCTTGACCATTCCCCCGCCGTACCATGGCAGGTTTAGTCTCCCCTGCGGGTTTGGTGGAGATGCTCAAGACTCTCATGCGTGCCCGTGGCCGGCGTGCACTGTTTCTCGGGATGTTTACAGTGTTGGTGTCGGTGATCGCTGCCGACTCACCTGTTGCAGGTAAGACAAACCTTTTTTTCACTGACTCGCACATCCTAGTAGGGCAGCTGAGCATGAACGCCTTATTTTTAAGCGATGATTTGCACATCTACGAGCATCCCCTTGCACAAGATGCTTAGCTCAAGGCTAACCAGCGACCTTCCAGTCGTAAGATTGCAGGTGCAACGTTCCCAGCTCTTCTATTGCAAGCTTGTCATCTCCTTAATGCAAATACATCATACATGACATTCAGCTTGCAGGGTGTGTAGCCTTAAGCTTAGTTGTGCATGTTTTAAAGCAGCAACGTCCACGTCCGGTCGTTTACCTCAACATGAGCTTACTTGATTTTCATGTGAGCACAGTCGGGGGCTGCTGCGTCCATTTGGATAGTTGATGTCATAATAAAGTGACTCCGGTGTCTGATTCTGGATTTCCACAAGAGGGGAAGTGGCTCGATCCCTCGAGTACACAGTGTGCATCGTTAAACCACTTTCCAGTAATTAGGGGAAGAGAAAGGGTCTCGCTGCATCCATTTGACGGCTGCATTCCCCGGGGCTTACTTTTATAGATAGTGACACGATCCGCGCACCCATCCCCCCACCGGCCTGTGAGAGGAACACGTTGCAAGAGCAACCAAAAAAACCCTGATATTACCAGTAATAGGATTATGTAAATGCCAGGGAGAAAGCTTTGTGCAGGAAATCCGGAATTAGTTCATCTTAAACTCTTACGCTGACCAGCCCCAGCTTCTTTCTTTTGACAGCCATTCATGTGGTGTGACCGACTCGCTGCACAGTGAACTTAGCAGAAGATAGTTTTCCACGAGACGCAGGACAACTACTTTGCTTTGTCATTATTTTCCGGACTCATTCAGTTTGTTTCAGCCACGCCTATTTCGTTATGGTTTTGATGACACTTTTATGATCGTGTTGTGACGTACAGTTTTCCACTTTTTCACAAGAGGATTCATTTATCGGCCACGGATTGGATTAAGTTCAAGAAAACTGCGTTTGATTTTTTAATGTGAGCCCGTTTTGTTCTGCACGTTAGGATGTGTCATACAGTACAAACAGAAAGTTCAACACAATTCTTGCCCGTACATTTGCGTCGTATACTTCCCTATACTTAAAGATTACATTTCACCACCAAGTCAGCGTTGATCCTTATGGGCCAAGTAACCTTGTTCAACATCCATTTTCACAGATCTTTGAAAAACATCCCGGACATGAACATGAAGAGGCGATTGTTTGAGGGGTTGATCCTGAGCACTGCCTCATCTCGGCCATGATTTTCCTTTCCTGTTGCAGAAAACTACCATTTTATGATTCGAGTTTAAAGATTAAAGACTAGTTTATGTTCCACATGTAGTTGAAGATCTAATCTCTTACTGTACGACAGGAGGTGCTTATTATTATTTCATGCACACGATGACAACTGCGTTTCCATGGCGAAAGGCAACAGTGAAATCACACCTCACACAGCTTTCCTCTTCCAGAGTCGGGAAAGCACACGTTATAGTTTATAAACAGATGACCCACTTCTAGTTGTTCCTCCCATTCTGACGTCGTAGTCGTCCTCCTCTTGCTTCCCTTCTTCTCTCCGTCCCCCTTCTGATAATCTGCTGAATTTCTGTATAAAAGAAAATCGCTGAGCATAAAGGATATAATAACGCTCCCCGAAATATCCTAGAAATGGCTGAGGCAGTTTTCCTTCCTAAGTCCCCCTTTCTCTCTGTCTCTGTCTCCGTCATTGTCCCCCCCCCCTCGTGTCTGCACTGCAGTGGTTGGCAAGTTCGACGCGGCGCTCTGCAGGCCAGCCGAGTCCTGACTGACTACCGTGTTGCCGTGTGAAATGTGATCCGTGTTCTGATGACAATGTGGCCATTCATTATTCACCAGCGCTGGAAGCCAGTTGTAGATCAATAAGTAGGAGAACCCGAGTCGAACCTTTTGGCTTTTACTTTTGGCCCTCGGCTCAACCAGAGAGCTCCTCTGGACAGCGGCTCGGGTCGCTGACAACCCCCCCCCCCCGCCCTTCGGCTCACTGGGCCGTCCCCGGATCATTTGGCTGGGTGGGCAATGGGAGCACACACGAGAGAGCTGTGGACGTGCGTTCGTTCTGGGAAGGTTGAGGAGAAGTGGAAGAAGGTGCCCAACGACGCAGGCCCCCCCCTCCCCCGGGGCCTCTCTGCTTACAAGTCTTTGCCCCCCTGTCTTCCTTCGGAAAGTGTCGCTGTGTGCCCGGTGAGCGGCTGTGAGTCCGCTCTACCCGCGTAGCTGTAAGTGCACGGCTTTTCTGAAAGAACCACACGTGGCACCAATCGAGTTCCGCGGTTCAACAGATTGCTCGTGACACCGTAGCCGGGGGGAAACTTTGGCTGAGCTGCTGAAGACTGTGCAGACCTTGCAGCTGACTCTACCTTTAACTCGTTTTCCTTCTCCCTGTGTTTCTCTCTTTTACTGTACTCTTATGCTTCTCCCCTTCCCCTCAACCTGCCCCGCTTATTTTACCCCCCCCTTCTCTTTCTCTTATCTTTGAAAGTCTTCCCTGAGGAAAACAAAACAAGGGTCACATGAATATTTGATGAAGTGCAGGCATGACCTCGGCCTGTTCTCTTTGCACATGCTCATTATCTGGCCGCTCTACCTTTGTTGACCTTGTAGATCATTGGCGATATTTGGATTAGCTTTGAAACTTTGATTCTATTTATAGCATTGACTTCAGTCTGTTCTTTTGCTGTTTGAATTCAACAAGTAGGAACATGGGATAGCAACTAGTGTTCATTTTCA